TGTGCTTGCCAGACAAAGACAGAGGGAGAGAAGGAAGGAGAGGGAGAAAGCACCTCCAATGGGGCATGGTCATTCCACAATCCCTTCTCCATTTCTCCATCCTGTTGGGGTTGTGGGCACATGTACACATGCATTCAGCATATGTTTCAATCTGCCATGGTTGGGACTTGAACTGTGGTTGGCCATGTGGGTTTCAGTTCCCTTAACCACTAGGCTATAGAGCCGTCCCTTTCTGTATCTCCCTTGAGGCCTCTCTTCTAGATACTTCTCCTAGAACACACTTTCCCCAAATAGCAGCATGGCTAACTCCTTCCTACATTCAAATCTTCATTCAAATCTCACCTCTCGCCCTGAGCATCTTACCACCCTCCCCCAAAAAAGACCCTCAACTCTCACTACTGTACTCTGCTTTTCCTTTTTCCTATACATTAGTATCTTCTAATATGTCATACTATTTTTTCCAGAACAAAAGAATTTATTATGTTTATTGTCCATTATCTGTCTCTCATTTCTACCACTGCTAGTTTTTTGTTGGCTTTGTTCACTCACATCTTCTATAGGGCATGTGCACTCACCGAAGAGACAGAGAGAGATAGAAAGAGAAAAATCATCCCCCCAGGAAAAATGACCACACTGCAATTTTTTCTCCTCCATTCTCCTCTCTGGATTTTAGCCACAGATTCGCATGCACCTGGCATGAGTTTCAAGCACACACTCAATGTGCCTGGTGTGAATTTCAAGCCACTGGGTTCAGGACTTGAACTGCTATCAACCTGTGGAAGTCCAACACCTCAACCACTATGCCACCTGCTGGCCTTTGGTGATATTGTCTAAGCATGTATTTAAGTGCCTGAAACATAGGAAGTGCTCAGTATATTAGGGGACTTCGGAAGGTTCATGGAAAAAATGGAATTGAAGTACAAGTTGTTTTGGTGCTAAGAAACTTTGAAATCCAGGCAGTTTCATAATGTACATTTTTCTGTGAAAGTTTTGAATTCTGTTGAATTCAATCAAGTGATTTGTTCAGTTGTTTAGCAAACTTACAGAAACTGCAAGGCATAGAGTTAAGTGGATACAAAAGAAACAAGGTAGGCTTCCTTCTTACATGTACCTTATAATCTAGTAAAGAAAAGGAAGTAGGGGCCAGCAGATGGCATAATGGCTACATCACTGGACTCCCATGTAGTCGACTATGGTTCGAGTTCCCGACCCAGCAGCTGAAACCCATGCCAGGCACGTGTGCATGCATGCCCAAGATCCCAAGAAGAGAATAGAGGAGAGGGATTGTGGCGTGGCCATCCTCCCTGGGTGGTTTCTTGCTTTCTGTCTCTCTGACAAGCGCACAAGCCCTATAGCAAAAACCTCTTAAAAAAAAAAAAAGAAGAAGAAATAAAAGAAAAGGAAATGTATAAATAATTCTAACACACGTCAATGGGACTGAGTTCAACAGGACTCAGGACCTGAGAAATGCCAAAAATAAATAAATAAATAAAAGGAAAAAACCATAGTCTCAGAGGATAGCAGCCTCACTCTGACTGGATTCCAGACAGCATTGTGAAGGGGGGATTGGAAGTGGACTTTGAAAGACAGGTGGTAGTTGATTAATAAACATAACTAAAGAGGTATTTAGTGTAACTAGATTTGGAGGTAAATGTAAAAATTCTTATGTGTATTAAGAAGTCAACATTTAATTAAAACAATTGATCATAGATAAAAAGAAAGAAAGAAAGAAAGAAAGAAAGAAAGAAAGAAAGAAAGAAAGAAAGAAAGAAAGAAAGAAAGAAAGAAAGAGGAAGGAAGGAAGGAAGAAAGGAAGGAAACTGCTGAGGCCAGCAGCTGGTATAATAGCTACGTCACTGGACTCCCATGTAGTTAACCACGGTTTGAGTCCCAAACCCAGTGGCTTAAAAATCATGCTGGAACATGGCATATGTTCCTGAAATCCCAAGAGGAGAATGGAGGAGAAGGGATTGCAGTGTGGCCATCCCCCCAGGGGGTGATTTCTTGCTTTCTGTCTCTCTGTCTCTCTCTCTGTCTCTCTGGCAAGCACATGGACCCTATGGCAAAAATATCTCTTTAAAAAAATGCAACCATAGGTGATTTTTGAAAAGTCGAGTCTAACTACTTCTTCAACTTACAAATTTCTGACATTTGAATGCTTGGATGTAACCACACAGAGGAATTCTTGAAAAGTAGCATGGAGTGTATGCAGAGTCTGGCAGATCCGGGGTTGAGGCCTTCCTCAGCTCTCACCAGCCATGTGGCCACACAGAGAAAATTGAACTTTCATTATCTATAGATTAATGATAAAATAGTAGAAGGGTGTGTGAGGTTTAAATGAGATTATGTAAAGTGCCTGGCATGGAGTTGATGCCTGACAAATGTTAACACACACCCCCACCTCTGCCCTTCTTTCTCACTCCCTGGAATCCACTAGAGTGCCCCTGCTTCCACCACAGTTCTGACCAAAAACGCTTGGATGCATGATAACTCTTCCATGAAGGGTGTATTTGCAATTATATATTCTGTCTGCTGTTCTGGGCTGATTTCCAAGCTCATTCAGTTTCCTCCCACTTTCCTGGTACTCATCTCCAAATAGTTTCACTAGCAAATTGCCCAGGTATCCTCTTACTTTTCTTTAAGAAGATTATTAATGAAGATACTAAGTCAGATTGGCATAAATAATAAAGCTTAAGGCCATCTTCCAGACCTTTTTCCACCCCATGGGAATATGGTGTCATGGATCTCTAGGTCTTAGTAATAATTTCCTAGCCCCTTGAAAAACTCACACGAGGACACATGTCCACATCTAGTCGAATCAGTCTTACAAGTGAACTCATAAGTGACTGAATTAAATGGAGGACTGAACATCTGTTTCATCACTGTAGCCTATCACTCTCTACTCTCATAAATCCTTACAACGAAAACAAATTAGTCTAACACGTTATTTGTAATAAACACTCTTTTGTTGTGCGTGGCTTGTGCCCAAAAGAGGTAATTGATCATTTAATGAAAATAACAAAATTTCATCACTGGTTCAAACATGGTCAAGTGTTGAATAATGTCTCCTTGGCAATGAGAGAAATGAGTAGCAATATAACAGCCTGTACAGAGGGTAACATAAGACGTAGCATAAGCTCCTGAAACTCATTTTAACAAAGTGCTGGAGAGAAACCACTATTATTTTGGAGCAAAGAATAGCTGTAGTTTTCTTGAGCTTGTATTTTCCTCAATGGTGAAACTTAAAGGGATTCTCTTTCATCATTTGATGAAAAAGTTGAACATTATCTGGGTGGCTCAAATACAACAGAAGGCATAATAGTGATATGATTTTCAGTCTCACTTCTGGTTCCTTTTGTCATTGTTTAGGTTTTTGCCATGGAGCACATGAGCTCACCAGAGAGAGAGTCAGACAGATACAGAGAGAGGGAAAGTGAGAAATTACCCCCTAGAGGGGATGGCCACCCCACAATCTCTTCTCTTGCATTCTTTTCTCAGGGTTTTGGGCATGCACAAACACATGCCCAGCATGAGTTTCAAGCCACCAGTCCAGGACTCAAATTGCAGTCAGCCATGTGGGAATCCAGCACCTTAACCACTACACCTCCTGCTGGCCCCACTCAGACTCCTTATAATCTTTATATTTTTCTCTTGCTTCTTTCCCCTTACTTTTTTTAAATTGTAGTACATATAATGTAGAACTTACCATCTAAGCCATTCTGTAATGTACAACTCGCATTCTGTGCATTCATACTGTTATGCGGCCACTACCACCACCCTAGAACTCTTTTCATCTTGCAGAACTGAAGCTCTGTACTCATTAAACAATAACTCCCCATCCTCTTGTCCTCCTTTGCCCTGGAAACCACCATTCGAAACTTCCTATCTCTATGGTTATAATTATTCTAGGTACTTCATGTAAGTAGAATCATACAGTTTCCCTCGTTTTTAATGACTGTTATACTTTACATTTTGTAAGTTTATAACTTCTCTTGAAATAAGATAGAGAATTAATAAATTTCAAAAAGAATAAAAAAAAAGATTGGGGTCAAGAGGCATTCTATTCTGTATATATGAAGTTAGTGGTAAGGCCATAGTGTTTGCTAATTAGAGCAACGCACTGGATTGTAAGAAATATTAATCATTTAAATGGTTAGTTAAATGTTCAAATAACGAGTATATTTTAAATAACCATAAGGTCAAAGGCTACATTGAGCATAGTAGGAGTTCCCACAACAGAAGCAATATCAAGATAAGAGAATAGAGAAGTAATCTTAGATTCCGCCTCACAGACCTCATGACCTAAATGCCAGTAGATTGACCACAAAGTTATTCTCAGAGCTGTCTCCATAACAGCGGTTCTCCAACTTCACTTGAAGTAAGAATTAATCACGCAAACATACTGAATCAAAACTGTACTGACGGGGCCCCGGGTGCCGTGGTGGGTTGGACACAGGTGGTTCTTATCAGTACGGTAAAACAACAGTCCGTGCCGTGGATTAGACCGAGGTTGTGAGCCACCTCTGCTCAGATTGGAAGTATCATCTTGAACTGTAGTATGTCCCCCGCACCGTGCTATCCACACTACCTATTTTTCGTTGTTCCACGTTCCTTTCTCTACATTTGGAGTTGCTTGTTCCAGCTATTGAAACCAGGAAAAGAGGCAGAAGTGAATAATACCAGAAATACTGGGTCATCAGGGAAGTCATGACATATTTTTCCATGCAAAAACGTGTCATGACTTTTCTGATGACTCAATAGCCCCTCATTGTACACTTTAGCAAGGGTCCACAAGGACCCTGACACTGTCCACCACCATCATGGCCTTGAAGATAGGCCTCATGGTGGTTTTGTTTTCTGTTTCTTTCCTGGTCCGCCTCTGTGTCATCAGGTACGAACTGGCTGGAGGGAAAATGCTGGCCTCTGTGAGCTATGTTGAGCGTGAAAGATCGGTATCTGGCTGCCCTCTCGTTTACAGCTGTTATTTTCTTTCTTTCTAGAATATGTCTGTGCTGGAGAATCACCACTGGCGATCTACAATCGGCATGCTTCGAGAATCAAGGCTTCTTGCTCACTTGCCAAAGGAAATGACGTAAGTGCTGCCGAGATGAAACACTGACGTGCACACAGGAAAGATAAGCGACTTTCTCTGGGGCATGCTTGGGACCCCCGCGTGAGTGGCAGGGAGCCAGCCGGCCGTGCTTCCTGCCTGCACTTGGTCATCTATCGCAGGACATTTGGTGTCAGTTACAGCAACCCAGAAACTCTGTGCACGTGGAAAGGGCCTTGGACAGTCTATGACCCACAGTCAGGAAAAGGAATAATAAACAACTCTCAGCTTTCACACTCTTCAACATCAACACTCTGCTTTGCCCAAGTCCCATCCTTTATGTTAGCAAAATCGTCCTCCCATGCAGATCCAAATAATAAATATTTGTCAAGAAGGAACATAAGAGTTTTCAAGCTAGATTTAAAACCAGTTCAATAAAGTGTATTTTCTAACTGCCAGTTTTAACAAAAAGAAAAGTGAGGCATTCTTTTCTAAAACATCTTTTGTTAAATAATCGAATTGGCCCCAGCTGTTTATTCACCACCAGTTTACCTATGTCTCTTGCACTTTCAACAAAAGGGGAAATACCAGTTTCCTGGCGCAGTGTTTGTTTTCCCGGGTGTGTAGACAGAATCCTACTAAATCTGAGGTCATGGCCTCATTTTCCTGGTGGCCCCAAGTGTGCTGCTATCCTGTCATCCAAGGCAATCACAAATTCCGATCTCGGTCATGAAAATGTGGGAAATAGGTGAGAAGAGTAAATAGTTCACTCTATCCCCCTTTTCATTAAAATTTGCTATAGGGTGCATACGCTCACCAGAGAGAGACAGAGAAAGTGAGAGAGTGTGCCATAAGGGGGGTAGTCATTCTGTCCTATTGTCCTCTCAGGATTTGGTGCATGCATGCACACATGCCCAGTGTGTTTTTCAAGCCTCTTGAAGCCAGGACTCAAATCATTCAGCCGGCCCTGTGAGATCCAGCTGCCTCAACTACCAAGCCACTGGCTGACCCTCGCTATACCCTCCTGATGACAGAGAGATACCTTGAGAACCCAGCGGGGTCTTTTCACAGAACAAGCAGTACTATTCCTGGCCTTCTGGCACTATCTCACGCTGTTTCGTAACACCCAGAGGAATGTGGAATTTACAGAAGGAACTTCAGTTCTGATAACTTTTTACCTCTTGCAATTAATAAAACCAGTCTTCATGCATGGAATGAAACTGCTACCTTTTCCTAGAATAGTAAATTGCTAATACTGAAGAAATTAAATGCTAAGTAAACTAAAAATTAGAGCAAGAAATAAAGTAAGAAGAAGAGAAAATGGAAGGCAAATGGGAGGAGCAGATAAAGAAAAAAGAAGGGAAAAAAGAATGAGGACAGGAAAAAAAAATTAATGAGAAAAGGGAGGGAAATACTCAGGGTAACCAGCTTTGTCACCATAGTTACCACATTAACTCTGTTTGTGTCTCAATATTATTCATTTCCTAAGATATTCTGACTCATCCATATAGATTCCAAATAAAAATACCATATTTTTATGTGCCTTTATGAGACAATGTTATAAATTGCTTTTGCTAGAAAAAAATAATTGTTAGGCCATAATATACATGAAAAAACTTTATAACGTTATCATCATAATCATCATTATTATTTCTTCTCCTCATGTAAAGGTTTTTAAATCTTTTTTTTTTTCATTTTAAAAGTAAAACATGTTAACTGTAGAAACTAAGTAAAATTCAGAAAAGCATTAGTTCGAAATATATGAAGTTACTTGAGCCAACCAGTGGTGTGGTGGTTAAGACAGCTGGATCCCACATGGCTAACAGTGCAGTTCAAGTCCCAGACCTTGAAAAACACACTAGGCATGCATGCACACCCAAAATTGCAGCAGAAAGAAGTGGAGCAGAAGGGATTGCAGTGCAGCCATCCCCCTTGGGAATGTTTTCTCATTTTCCCTCCCTGTGTCTCTGGCAAGTGCAGCACATGCCCTACAGAGAGAGAGAAAAAAAGTTGTTACTTTAGAGGGTCAAAAACAGAATATCAACAGTTTGGTGTGGTCCAACATGACATAAACAAAACTGGAATTACTGGTAATCCTACCATCCAGGAAAAGTTTATGTTAACTAGGATGGTATATTTCCTTTTAGCCTTTTTTCAATATAACCATATTTTAACAAAATGAGGAATTTCTTTTACACTTTAGGTCCTGATAGGTTTTTCCTTTTTTCTTTTTTCTTTTTTTTTGGGGGGGAGGGGGAGTTTTGGTTTTTTGGAGGTTTTTTGTTTTTCTGTTTTTGTTTTTGCTATATTGCCATCGAGCATGTGCACTTGCCAGAAAGACAGAGAGAAAGAAAGCAAGAAGTCACCCCCCCGCCACCCCAGGGTGGATGGCCACGCAGCAATCCCTTCTCCTCCATTCTCCTCTCAGGATCTTGGGCATGCACACACACACTCAGTGTGGGGTTAAGCCACTGGGTCCAGGACTTGAACTGTGGGTGACTACATGGGAGTCCCAGCGACATAGCCATTATGCCATCTGCCTATCCCTATGTCCTGATAGTTTTAATTTCTTACAAAAGTTGTTTTTCCTATCAGTAAGCCTATTCCTAAAATTAATATATTGTAGCCAATATTTTTATTGGCCACAATAAAATTGTTGTGCTAAAAGGTACACCTATATTCAATAAAACAGTAGAAATGCATTAGTGGACAAAGTGGGTGTGAACCAGTGGAAACAGATGAAACGAGGTTTGAGGAAACCTGTTTAGATTCTTCTTGGCCTTTTGTGCGGCATTTCTTCCTTCCAGGGGTGGGACAGGATCACTCTACAATGAGAGTCAGGACCTACAATCAAACAAAGAAGCTCAGAAGTTTTATTTATAGCCAACTCTTACACAGAAAGTCAGGGGAAAATCATATTTCCAGGTTTTACAGTTAGCTTTGAGAGAAAGGGATTCTGCTTCCGGTGACCCGCCTTAGAGAAGGATTCTACTCTGCACACCATTTAATTACAACTGAGATTTAAATTGTTCATTTATTTACTTTGCCATTGCTCTTTTTTTTTTAGAGAGAGTAAGTTTTTCTATTTAGACTTTCCCTGTTTTCCTATCAGTATGATCCATTTGTAAGAACTCTTCATATATTAAGTATGGTAGCCATTCGTTATATGTTGCAAATACTGCTTGAAATTTTTAGTGTATCTTTTAATTTGATTTATGAAACACTTTACTAACTAAAATATTGATAGTTCTTGACGTATATATTCATATCTTTAAAGAATTTATACAATATTGAAAAGTATAAAGAATAAAATCAAAATCAACCATAATCTTACTATATATTTTTCCAGTTTATTTTCTATGACCATAGAGATTGTGTTTTACATGCTTTGTATCCTGTTTGCTAAAATAATAATAAAGCATGGCATTTTTCCATGGAAAAATGGAACTGTATGAGGCCGGCAGATGGTGTGAGGTTAAGGCAACTGGATCCCACATGGCTGATTGCACAGTTTAAGTCCTGGACCTAGAGGCTGGGTAACACTGTGGACTCTTCCAGTTTTTCCATGGTAGCATTTGTGGGGCATTCCTTTTTGAACAGTACCCATTCCCTTAATGTCTACAATATCACCCTTCTTGTAGATTCGCTTATATGTTGCCAAAAGAACAACTCCATGTTTTCTAAAAGGCCTAGAGAACATATATCGGGTGCCTCTCCTCTTTCCCTTTGTAGTCATCATTTTGGTTAATTACTGGAAGATGGCGGTTCCAGCCAAAAAGCTGTACATACTTTTGTTGAAGGGGGAGATGTTTGCTATAAGGCACATGCACTCACCAGAGAGATAGAGAGATAGAAAGCGAGAAATCACCCACCAGGGGGATGGTCACACCACAGACCCTTTTTTTCCGTTCTCCTCCTTGTGTTTCGGTATGCACACACGTGCCCAGCGTGAATGTTAAGCTGTTGGATCCAGGATTCAAAATGCGGTCTACTATGCGGGAGTCCAGCAGTATAACCATTACGCCATCTGCTGGTCCCTAGAAATTTTTACTAACATACTAATAGAAATTTGTAGATGAACTATTGATCAAATTATTTATATGGACTAAATGCTTTTAACACTAATTCCTAAATTATCCTACAGAGAGACATTTTATTAATTTACTCTCACAAACAGAATGAGCAGGACCATTTTCCCCATACCTTACATAGCATTAGGCACTACAATCGTTCATTGACTCAGCAAATTATTTAGCAGTTACTGTTAATAACTCACCAGCAAAAATGGGGGAGATATCGCTAAGCTATTTTCATCTGCAATTTGTCATACAAAAAATATTTAATTTCATTTCATATTTTGGCATATCTTGTATTCCTTTTATAATTACCAATTTTTTAGAAATAATGTTCAGGAGTGATTAAGTATTTAAATATCTACCTTTGGCTTAAAAATCAAGATGTGAGTGGTGAAACTATAAAGTTTTCAGACTATATCATAGAGGGATTTTTTTCAGCAGAGTTAGAAAAGATTGCTTAAGTAGAAGAAAAAATTAATTATAAATAAAAAGTTATAAATTAAACTACATTGAAAATTAAGACTTGAGCAGGTCAGCAGGTTGTATGGTGGTTAAGGCACTGGATTCTCATATGGCTAACCATGGTTAGAGTCCCAGACCCAGCAGCTGGGAAATCACACCAGCTACATGAGCATGTGTGTCCAAAACCCCAAGAGAACTGAGGAGGAGGGATTGGGGCCTGGCTATCCCCCTTAGGGGATGGTTTCTTTTCCTTTCTCTGTCAAGCACATGTGCCCTATGGCAAATAAATAAATAAAAATAAATTAAGGCGGCCCTTCATCATAAAGAGAGTGGAAAGACAAGCAAGAGAGAAGATATCTGAAATATATAACTGACAAAGGACCAGTTTTTAAAATACATAAAGAACTCTTAGAATCAATAAGAAAAATAGAGCCAATCCACTAGAACAATAACAAAAATAGAAACTTTACAGAAGAGAAGATACTAATGACCAATGAACACAGGAAAACATATCCAACCTCATTAGTAATCAAGGACATTTATATTAAAACCACAATGAGCTTAATGGCATAGCCACCCATTAGACTGGCAAAAAATGGAAAGGATAAAAATGTAGAACAATGAGAATCTCATTGCTTACTACTAGGAGGGTAGCTTTACACAACCGTTTTAGAAATAACTGGTAATATCCAGTAGAGATGAATACCCTGAACCAGCCAAGTGGTGTGGTGGTTAAAGCAGCTAGATCCCACATGGTCAACTGTGCAGTTCAATTCCAAGACCTGGTGGCTTGAAAAACATGCCAGGCATGTGTGCATTTTTGCCCAAAATGCCAAGAATAGAGTGAAAGAAAAGGGATTATGGAGTGCTTTATCACTTTCTCTCTCTCCCTCCCTCTCTCTTTCCAGTAAGTGTGCATGCACTATAGCAAACTTTAAATAAATAAAAATGGTCTTCTTTAAGATAAATAGGGGCCACGATCAGCAGAGAGCATAATGGTTATGTTGCTGGACTCCCACATAGTCAACCATGGTTCAAGTCCTGGACCCAGTGGCTTAAAACTCACACTGGGTATGTGTTTATGTGTGCCCAAAATCCCAAGAGGAAAATAGAGGAGAAGGGACTGCAGTGTGGCCCTCCCCCTTAGGGAGTGATTTCTCACGGTCTCTCTGTATCTCTAGTAATTGCCCATGCCCCATAGCAAAAATTTCTGTAAAAAAAAAATTTTTTTTAATATATATAGAGGCCAGCAGGTAGCATGGTAGTTAAGGCACTGGAGTTTTACAAGATCGGCTGGGCCTGGTAGCTTGAAAATCACTCCAGGCATGTGTGCATGCCTAAAATCCCGAGAGAAGAATGAAAAAGGAGGTGTGTGGCATGGCCATCTGCCAGGGGATGATTTCTCTCTTTCCATCTCCCTGTCTCTCTCTGTCTGTCTCTGGCAAGTACATACACCCTGTGACAAATAAATAAGTAAATAAAAATAACGGGACCAGCAGTTAGTGTAATGCTCCCATGTAGTCAACCGCAGTTTGAGTACCAGACCCGGTGGCTTAAACTCGCGCCAGGTGTGTGTGCGTGCATGCCCAAGATCCCGAGAGGAGAATGGAGGAGAAGGGATTGCGGCGTGGCCATCTTCCCTGGGGGGTGATTTCTTATTTTCTGTCTCTCTGTCTCTCTCAGTCTTTCTGGCGAGCTCACGCACCCTATAGCAAAAACTTTCAAAAAAAAATAATAAATTAATTAAACAGACTTGATAACATTGTAATATATTCCTACAATGGACTATTATATACAGTATTATTATAATAATAAAAATGGAGAAACTGCAGGTTATACAATAACATGGAAGAATTTCGAAAACATAAGGTAAAGCTAAAGAAGCAAGTCACGAACAAATATGTACCATACCACAAAGCTCAAAGGCAGTTAAGATTCACCATATTGTGTAGACATTCACATGCAAGTATAAGTAGGGAAAAAAGTATTAAACAAAGAACAAGAGAGTGGTTACTCTAAGTTGAAGAGGAAGGGGTGTGATGAGAAAGGTAACAGGGACCTTTGGAGACACTGCCAAGCAACATTCTTGACCAGGCTGGAGATGAGAAGATGTTCAATCTATATGTATTTGTTAAACTATGTATGTATGCTCCATGCACTCTACTCACACATATTTAATTTTTAAAGATGAATTTTTAAAATAGTTACAGATGTTTCCTTCTATTGATTACTTTCTGAATGTTAAGTAAAGATCTAACTTGCTTTATTTTTCCAAAATAGCCTATTTCCCTTATACCATTAACTGATCATTTGTCTCTTGTCCACTGGTTTGCAATGATGTCTTAATCATTCTTTTTTTTTTTTCTTTAAGGTTCCATTATCTCTTTCTGGCCTACATATTTTGCCCCATTGATAGATCTTCCCATCCCATAATATCAGTCACTAATACTCTCTTCATTATTATTACCATTATTATACCTTTTTCTTTCCCCTTGCAAAGCTTAATGTTTAAACTGGTTCACACTCTCTAAAGTATACCCAAACTCCCATGATTCTTCAAGTCTTTTTGTTTCTTCCTTTTAAAACATGCATTTCTGTGGGACCAGCAGTTGGCACAATGGCTTTGTCGCTGGACTCCCATGTAGTCGACCCCAGTTCGAGTCCTGGACCCAGTAGCTTAAATTCACTCTGGGCATGTGTGCGTGTGTGCCCAAGATCCCAAGAGGAAAATGGAGGAGAAGGGATTGCAGTGTGGCCATCCCCCCTGGGGAGTGATTTCTTGCATTCTGTCTCTCTGTCTCTCTTTGTCTTTCTGGTGAGCACACACACCCTATAGCAAAAACCTCTCAAGAAAAAAAAAATTTTTTTAAACCATGCATTTCTGTTTGGCTTTCACTTTTTTACCCATAGAACCACAGGAGTGTATAAACTACCGTAATTTTGTTCACTTAAGGTTTTAACCACCCTATACAGTTATTGGCAGGCTTCCTGTTCAAGGACAGAACTGATGGTGGGTGAGAGACTCCCCCATGAGGGACGGAGATCCCCATGTAACCAACAGAATCAAAGGCAGAAATGAGATTACAAGCCACCTCAGAGGGATTTGCTTTGTGTGTGTGTTTTTGTCTTTCATTCTTGTGGATGCAGACAGGATATTGAACAGCAGCTGGGCTCCTTGATCTTGGCAACAGACATCAACAGGCAGAATGAATTTTTGACCAGATTGAAAGCTCACCTCCACAATAAAGATTTAAGACTGGAGGATGCACACGACAGGCACTTTATGCTTCAGGTAAACAACAACAAAAAGCCATGAACTTTGCTGAGTGAAAATGCAGCGACATGATCAATAATGTTAGCATATTTGAGGAGTTCTCTCCCATGGTATAAATTAGAACAGTTACTTACTCCATTAAAAACGTTGAGATACATGGAATGTTTAAGTGGCTTCCAAGTGAGCAAAATCTAGGTTTGGTGTCAGTAAATGTTAATATCGCATTTCTTCTCTTTCTGTAACTATTCACCACAAAACAGCCCACTGGATGGTGGCATGCAGTTAAGTGTCTACACGTTTTGTGGCCTGGTGTAAAATTAACCTGTGCAATTTTACAAGACTATTTCTGTAATACGAAAGTATATTGTGTTAACAGTAGTAAAAACAAAAATGTAAAATGTATAGTCTTTCTTTCCATAAAATCTATTTAATCACATCATCTTTTGA